GAAGGCTTTGTGTAGAGCCACTTTGTGGGATCAGGCTCCTTACTGGCATTAAAACCACCTGGGTTAGGCAAGGCCATTGGGTGAGAAGGAAAAGACATGGACTTTTCATCCACATGGGATGCAGGGCTGGAGCTTTTGCAGAGTGTTATCATATAGACTTGGAAAAGTCTGTTCAATACCAGCAGATCCAACCTGATAAATGCTGCCCTGGATTGCCATGTTTGTATCCATTGATTAACCAGCAAAACCAAGCATACAGATGTTCAGAATGCAAGTCTAGAAACCCTTTCACCGCACTGTGGAAAGCTGGCAACTGTTTTAACTCATTGATGGCACTTATGCCTAAGATCCTCCAACAGCTAAGAAAGTCCAGGCCACAGGGGTACAGTTACAAGGCACCCCATCCTTGGGCCAGTGTTGGTCTGAGGCTTTCTAAGCTCTGAGACAACTCAGAAAGTCCTCACACCAAGAGCAGCTGTTTGCTTTACACCTAGAAGCCATGAAGGAGACACTACTTTGAGTTACTGTGGCTCTGGGACCAACCCAATCAACAGACCCATCAAAGGGGTAAGGACACATGGAGCATGACTCAAGCCAGAAACAAGATGCTCTTCACAACAAGTGACTTACACAAGCTAGGGTCTTTTCTGCTCTCCTGGAAAAAGGCTGTGAAGAGCTCCAATAAGCTCTGGACAAGCATAATATTTCTAGAAAAAAAACTTGGAAGCAATCCAGGTGACTAAACTGTCTGGCATTTAAATCCTGAAGTTGCTACTCTCTGTTCCTTCTTTTGAGATGTCACTTAGGGAACCTACCTCCAGCTATGCTGCTGGAAAGTTAATCAACACAAGAACTTTGGGATTGTCAGGTAACAAGTCACATCTTAAAGCAAACCCTCTTTCTGTGACCCAATCCCTACTGCTAGAGGAACAGAGAGCTGAAGGTGATCCACTGCTTATATACATTGTTATTTGAAGCCTGGAAATAGACTGGAGCTAGTTGTAGGTCCTTTAAGTCAGCACACAGTGTACAGTGTGCATCACCACAGGAGTCTCACTACCTAGTGTCTGAAAATTCACTAGCTAAGCCCCAAATTCTGACAGAGCTGTTACTGAAGTCTCTAGATATGCTGATGTCAAGGGAGGAGAAGAAAGAGGGCAAGGCACCACGTGTCAAAGGGCTGTGGTCTAGGAACTTGTGACAGACCCAGGACAGATGACACACAGGTAGCTTGGCTAAATTCAGTACTGGAGCTAATAGTTCCCAACATCTTTGATTAATGTAATATATTTGTAACATATCTGCATGAACAGGAACTGCAGAAAAAACACTCAGGAAAGACTGCAGGGAAGTTCAAGTGTCTGTCTTTACAGTGCAGCTACAACACTGCCAGACCCATCTGAAAACACCTTCAGTTTAGAAGCTAGCCAAGGGACCATTAAAAATTCTGGCAGATCTGATGTAGTGGAAGCTGCAAGTTCCTTGTGTTCAGTAAGAGCAAGTCCCAGCTGCTCACCTACAATCTCCAGATCTCTCCAGACACTGACAAAGGTGATGGCTGGACCAGCCTAACCATTGAACAGTTATAGTTCTGCAACTTGGTAGTTGATTGAGAGAGTCCTTCAGGTTTATGTTCAAGTGCTACTTACATCCAGTGATGGGAAAGAAGTTTGTATACCACACAAGACTACCTGTGGAAGAGCTCTGCTAATGCTTTTTCTAATCCCAGTTTGAAACTAAACAGAGCACATGACAGATTCATCATGCTGTAAATCTTGAACTGCGATATCAGACTATACTGTAGTGATCTACAAGTGCACACTTCAACCTCATGGGTCTTGACAAGAGATGAAAAAAGACAACTTCACCTCTAAGACTTAAAAATTCAGATTACATTTAAGGTTGAGTTCACTGGAAAAACAAAGACCACTTGCCCACATTGCAAGACTACTATTGCCTTATTTTGGGAAAGAAAAGTATTTCAGGTTAGGATTGGACAAAGTTCCATGCATCTGGGGGTACTGGCACTAGGTATCAGTTGCCAGTCACTGTCAGCAGTAAGATTTAATACACAACTCCTTTATTTGAAGGTCTTTAGATAACATGGACTACAGCTTAACTTTCTTCTCTCCCACTTCCCCAAGATCTCTAAGTTATTGCTGCAAGTCTGACACCCCAAGTCTTGCTTTGAAAGCAGCATCAAATTTGGTGAGATGGAGAGAATAGTTCCCTCCCAAATGCTTCCAGCTACAACAAGATTAGTAAACTGAACCTGAGGCTCCAAAGACCTTGCACAAACAAGCTGTGACAAAAGCTTTTCTTCCCCAAACAGAATAGAATTAGTTGGTCCAGTCACAAGTGGTTTGAACAGCTGTAGATACACATGTAAAAACAGGTCAAAGGAGCAAGACAGAAGCCCATATTACTTCTGTAGTTGAGAGTTTCAGAAAGTCCACAGCATTGGCACTTCTGAAGTATGAAGGCTTGGGTTGCAGGACAGGAATGAGTATTCCTCAAAAAGACCTTTCAACTTCAAATAAAAAAAAAATCCTCTATTTGTTTAGACAAAGGTACAGCTCCTGCTGCTTTGAGAATTGCCCAGTTGCTCACCTTATTTTAAGAGACTTGCTTAGAAAATGGGTCTTTGATTGACTGGCCATCCGCTGTAGTGAAATCAGTGAAATTAAGGTATATTTGACAAGAAGGTAGCTTCCTAATACCTCAGAAATGGCAAAACCTATTTGCAAGCCTGGTCCATCAAGAATGATCTTCTTTACAAAATAGAAGGAGACTTTTTTTTCAAAAAAACAAACAAACCAAAACCCCAAAAAACCAAACCCAACAAAACTTCCCAGAACAAAGCTCCACTTTCAGAGGGACTGGCATGACTTGGCCAAAAAGCAGAAGCAAAACACTTGTTTCAGCTCAGTGTTAACCTTCCCAGACAGTACCAAGCCAGTTCTCTCACCCTCCTGACTTTTAATTTCTGGGCCAGTCAACAACTGAACTGTTCTGCCAGTCTGGGGTCCTGGGAAGGAAGGCAGAGCTTCAGCCACATGGGGAGCTGGGCAGAGCACCTCTGCTTTTGATAAGGCTCTCAAGTTGAAGGCAGATATTTTGCTCTCAAAGGATGTCAGATGCACACTGACCTTTCTTTCAGAGGTATTCAGATGTTAGGTCATATGATGGGCTCTTCACCTCAACAGTGGTATCAGTACCAAGGACAACTTCTGTTCTTCTAGACCTGTCTGAAGTTGATACTCATCTCAGCACAGTAAAGCTGGATGGAGGAAGGACACATGAAGCATGGGAAGGGCAGTTTTGTTTCTTCAAGGCAGATAGCCATGACCTGTGTAAGCTACAGCTGTAGTATACTATGAAAGTTGAAGCACTTCTAAAGTTGTAATCCAGTGGAGATAAAAACCATATCCCCCCCCAACACACCTAAATTTACACTGTATCTATTTGATGTGTGCAAGTGTTGTTTACACTCCACTTCTGTGGAAGTGAGAAGATACTTAAGTCATACCCAATGAATATTACATGAACAGCTACTTAAAACAAAAATCTGAAATGTCTTATGACAGATTTTAGTGATATACAGATGCAGCATGAGTATGATGATAACATGAAGACAAGATATCCATCAGCTAAGAATATCCTTGCTAACTGATGCCCTAAAATAGTTCTTAAGGAACAGCCACAAGCACGGCCAACTCTTGCTATAGCTTTACTCAGTCACATCTTTACTTTGAGGAAAAAAGGAAACCTGGATTTGCTAACAAGGAGAATGTGCAGATATCCACAGTTCATTGTAGGAGGCCAAGGTGTCTGGCCTAAGGCAAATTAAAGGAATTTCCTGATATGATAATGCACCTTTGCTACACTAGTTAATTATTGCTTTATTAAATCAAAAACCCACCTCTCCAACTTACTGAAGTTCAGGGATAGGGCAGTCCAGAAGGCTTGTTCCCCTATATTACAGGACTGAAGTCTTGCAGCTTGTTTCATCCTTAAGCTATAAATTAAAGTGCCTGGAACACAGACCAAGGCTGAAGCAATAAAGTGCTAATTGATGTGGGAAGCATGACAGGAAAGGAACTTCACTGATGCTGTAATAAAGAAGTCCTAAGGATGGATTAATGAGACTACAACATTAATAGAATAAACAGTAAAAAAAAATTCTGACCACAAAGTTTCAGTCTCCAGATTGGCATTGGACAGCTTTCCTTCCAGGGGATAGACTAGAGTCTTTAATAACCATCTTGGCACAGACTATAACAGCCACTTGAGGGAAAAGCACAAGTGAGTAGGCATCTTTCCTGCAAACAGCTTTTACACTTCACACATTAAAACTAGAAGAGGATGTCTGGGTGTGGAAAAGGAATTCAAGTGAGGAAGAGCCTAGTGTCTTACTGGAGCCAGTAATCCTACAGCATTTACAGATATGGAAGTAGTTAGCCACACAAAGATACCATTTTAGTTGCACAGGGCTAGAGACATCCCGTTCCCCATCAACTGTAAGGCAAGTCATGTGTCTAAAAACCATCTGATGCTTTGAAAGCTAAAGGGAAGAATTTCAGTATGATTTACCCTGACATAAGGGGAGTAAAACTAAATAGATATCTTCCTCCCCAGCAAATTAATCCCTAACAGAGTACATAATTATCTCTGAAATATTCTTAAAAACAGATTGAGCTCACAGAAAGATCCTGCAGATTCTTAATTGCTGGTTTCCATTTGGAAGTCAGAGCCAGCTTTAAAAAGCCCTGGGTCAAACAAAAAACAACAAAAAACAGTACTAAAAAGATGACTACATTTAAAAAGAGGTAAAGATGACAAGAAGGTGACTGATCTGGTCTTGGTATGAGAGAACAAGTTTACATAAAAACATTAACTGGTATTACCAGCCTACAGCTTTTCTCTACCTGGGATCCCAGCATAAAGACACTCTGATCCACAGATAGCTGCAACATGGGAGAGTTAAGTATTTTTGAATTGATTGACTTGTGTAAATGCATTCCTAGGAAGCAAAAGGCTCCCTTGAGAAGATGCAAGGCTGGAACTCCACTTGCAGTCAAGCATTTGTTTTTCCAAGCCACATCTTAGCAGCTTACAGACTGAACTACTCACTGGCTTGTGGCTTGGTACAGGGTTTTTCCAGCACTGGGACAGAAGAGAACAGTCATAGTTACTCTGTCATCTGCACCTAAACAAATGCTGCAGACCAAGTTTTTTGACCAGCAGGTGAAGGGATTTTGACACTTAAAACTTCTGCTATACTAAAGCAAGCAGTCCTCACCTCAATAACCCTGTAACAAGTCACAATCAACAACCAAATTCTCCAAGCAGAGCAGTAAATTACAAACCCAAGTGACTATATATGCAAAGATGCTCTGATCAGATATTAACCTCTGCTGCAACTCCACTTCAGAAAACATTGTGATCAAACCCCGACCATAAGATATCAAGGAGAATGGAAACCTGAAGCAGCAGGTGAGGGAACAAGATGTTCCCAAAGTGGGAGATATACTGAAACAATCCAGAGTCTTTGGGTCAATCACTCCTGCCCAGATACAGCCTGCTCTGAGTCCGAGCATTGAGACTTTGTCTTCTCCCACTGGCAGATGGCATTGGCATACTGTACCACAAGTTTATCCATCCAGGTAAGAGGTTCTGGGAATAGTACAGATCCCTCAAAAAATCCCAGGTGACCTCCATGAAGGGGCAGCACGTGCATGACATTTTCCCGTTTCTCTGTAAAACAAAAGGAGGCACAAAGTTCCAGAAGGTTAACATCTTGGAGCTGAAAATGAAACCATCTGAAGCTGTGATAATCAACTTTATCCTTGGCATAGCATCTGAACCAAAGGAGCAATCATGTGTAGGAAGCAGAAATGCACTGACCAAGGCCACAGCTACTTTGAAGTCCAAAGTGCATAATCTTACTGCTTCACAGAACAGGACAGTCTGCAGGAAACAATCCCAGCCAACACAAGGAGGTTGCCCAAGCTGCTGGCTGGGCCCTTACAGCAATACCTGTATTGCTGTAAGAATTCTCATTCTTTAAAAAGTTAACATCTTTAACTCATGTACACTGGAAGCAGGACTGTTAGCGTCATGTCAAGCTGCACCAGAGCTCTGACAATACATCAGCCACCTTGTTTCATGTACAGCAAGAAAAATCTCTGTGCTTGCTCCTGTCTGGAAGCAGCTGTGGATAAATTATCTGCTCACAGCTTTCAACCAGGAGAAGAATGAAGCCTGCTTCCCTCCCTGCACACCCACTATTTATGTGATGAAGCAGCAGCCAGCTCCCTCTGAGTTTCTAAAGGTCATTTGCTTTTTTCTTGTCTGAAGACAGACAGCTCACACAACTCCTTTCAAGGAGTTCAGTACCAAATAACAGCCATGCATGTGCCCTCCTCCACACTTCATCAGCAAAGGGGGTTGTTCATCCGTACTTGATCAAGACTATCACTATAACAACCCACCTTTTTACTAAAATCCAGTGAGGAATGGAGACATGAAGCATTTTTTCCATTCAGGAACATAACCTGAATGTAACTTTCTGCCTATCAGCACAAGCCAAAACAGCAGAAGGTGCCTGAAAAGACCAAGGTTCTTCCTGCTCAAGGTTGGCTTTGTTAGTTCTAGCAACTGGTGATTTAAAGAGGCTTACTACATTTCCCACAGGATTACAGATGTAAGGAGGCAAGTCAAGCTGCTTTGAAATCATGGATCACAATGTGATAAGGAAGCTGCAGATAAACAAATATGCACAGCTGGAGCAGACTGCTTCAACATACCTGAAAGAGCTCTTGGAATTGATAGAAGACTCTCATGTACAAGAGGGTCATCAGCAGCATTAACCAACAGAAGAGGAACATAGATCTGCATCAAGAAACATGGCAGAAAAGGGAAAAAAAACACAGTAAGGGGCTGGTATTTAAATTTCAGTCTATGAACTGTAAACCACCTTAGCTTAACTCAACCAAGACATTTTATTTCAGAATTGTTCTGTACCTGGAGAAGCATCGAAAAAGCAGGAAAAGTCAAAGTTTAAGACTGGTGGCTTTTCACCAATGGAATACTTTGCAGCACTTTTTTTTCCCCTAACTCAATTGTATGAAAGGGGCAGGGGTACATCAGAGCAAATACAGGTTGAGTCAGAGATCTTCCCTATTCTCAGAATTCAAATAGTTACACCCTTTTTTTTGCTCTGTATTGCTTTGCACATGAGGCAGCTAGTGCCAGCTCTGTTATGGACACCCTGGTTAAAGTCCAGGAAACTCCCTTGGTGTATCTCCATCCTCTGGCTCAGCAGATCAAGGAGGAATTAATCTTCCAGTTTTCACTCTGGAAAACTTTGGTCTGCTAAGCATCTGTCTGCCAGATAGCACCCTGAGTCTCTTCCACAGTATCTAATAAGTCTTTCTTCCTTGAAACCCATTTGAAACCCTTGAAACCCTTGAAAGCCACCACCCATTTCCCACCTTATCCTCATACACTCAGAGCAGCTCAGCTGAATGCATGGCTTTATCCAGATCACTTTGGTGCTACTACTTGCTAGAGTTACAAGGTCTTAAGAGCCCAGAGGATTTAGTCCCAGTATTGGAGGTACTGAAAACTGAAATCCCACTCCAATATATTGTGTCTGTTTATTTCTGAAAATCCCAGCTAAGACAGCTGTGTCTAGGTATTGACAACAGAAATCACAGTGCATTTTCTCTCCAGTAGGAAAATCAATGCACAAGAGCAGTCCCTATTGCAAGAGCTTACCCTGTGCAAGTAATGCAGGCAGCTTTCTTCTTCATAGTATTCCTTTAGGGAACTGTAGCCATGGAACTTCCTGAAATAGAGAAGACTGTCATTGCAGTAATTTGCTTCTAGTACCCATGTGACTCTTACTTTCAAGTGAAGACACATACACAGAGATAGGAATGATGCCTCAATTTTCAGACACCACTTTTTTTTCCCCTACCCAGTGCCTCTGCAAAACTCACCTCTGGCAGCACATGCCTTTATGTGTTCTGTGCTTACTCAAACATTGTGATAGCCTAGGCAAGTTAAACATACAAGTTGAAGTCTAGCAGCCTTGTAAAGGGCATTTCTTTTAAAGTAGCTCGCTTCACTTGAGTAATTGTACACATTGAAGGAAGGAAGAGTTATGATCTTGTTCATCTTTACCTGAAAGCCTTTTCAAATACAAAACCATAGTTTATGAACCTCAAGTGTACTGAGCAAAAGGGTCTGCCTACAAGCCACTCAGAATTCACTGTAGTACCAGTTCTTTGCCAAATCCTTAGCACTCCATCCCAAATCAAGATTTCAGCAAACCTATACTCAAATGCCTTTTTTTTAAATGTAAGACACAACATAACTGTTGGCCCAAAGCAGAAAGGCCTCGAGGCTGGGAGATCTCCCTAGGAACAGCTTTTAAAAAGCAGCCAGCGATACTCCCAGCATGCCAAGTGGTATAGCTGTATAGCCAAGAGTTTACAGCTTCATTTTGGAAAGGTGTCAATGCCTGATAAAGAACATGCTGTGGTATGAACACTGCCACTGAAGAAAGTGTTATGTTGTTTTCAAGGACACAGGCAGTAACAGGCTACTGCTTAACAAAGCAGAGAGCTTAATTTAGGTGTTAGTATGACAAGTAAAAAAGTTGTATTATCTCAGCCAACCCTAATGTTTATTGAGAAGGCAGTAGTGTTTGGGTTTTTTTAAAATTCAAGCAGGGCTAATGACATTTATCAGCAGTTCTGAGCTGCTCTCCACGTTCTGCATTGTTTTTTGCTACACTTTACAGGCAGAGCTAGCCTTTTCCTACGTTACTGAAAGCTTCATGCTCAGATTTATTGATAAATGTGCCCCCTGGATGATTTTAAAGAAGCTGTGACTGTCAATAGTACAGGGTTTTTTCTGTTTAGTTTTATTCAATGTGAAAGCAAGAATGAATTTGAGGTTGTCAGCACTGTATTTCAGCAGACTCCTATAGGCACAACAAGGGGCATGCAAGAGCAACGCTTGAAAGTACTTTCAGAGACCTACACAGGATCCAAGGATCTTCCTTCATACCTCATAACGTTATCATCAATCTGCATAAGGGATGTTGCTGTATAGAGTTTGCTCAGATCAGCATCTGACAGGCTTTGTGGCTTCTTCATGTTATCTCCAAAAAGAACTTGCCTGAAAGAGTAACATCAAGAAAAACATCCAAATAACATAACAAAGGCAGCAAAGCCACAACCTGTTCAAGGACAACTGAGTTTACCAAGTCTGATATGACAAGACTAGAAGTGAGTGGGCTACATATACACGAGGGTTTCTTGGGAACAGGCACAGCTTATTTGTCCACTTGTCTTTGCAGCAAGGCATAACAAATCCCTAGCAGCCTCTTTATAGAAAAAGATGTTTTCCTGTTATACTGAAAAACTGCATGAGGGGCCTCTAAAAAGAATCTTCCCAGAACAGATAGCACTAAGGGTATTTGGAACAGAGGCTGCACATTAGAGGGAGGGTTCTTTGGCTTCAAACCAAAGCTGTGGGTGGCTCAGTGAGAGCACTAGCAGTCCTGGGCATAGCATCTCCTTCACCATCTGGTCCTAAAGTCTCCCCAGCACAGCTATTAGGTTAGGTCACACAGCAGAAATTACTTGGGGCATTACCTTAGCAGAAAGCTATTTACTATGGACAGTTGTCATAATTAGTTATTGCCCTCGGGAGAGGATGTTTCTTTACCAGAACAAACGGCTCCCCTAACAAAGAGAACAAAAGCCACATGTTGGAAAGGGTTTGGTTTTGGTTTTTTTCCCCTTTCAGAGCCAGCTGCAGGGCAGAGCAGAAGGTGGCTAGATTTGATTTGGAGAAGCTGCTTTAGAGTGCAAGTGATTATGGAAAAAAGTTTACTTAAACTTGCCTTCAAGCCAGTACTGTTTTTTTCTGGGTTATGAATTTAAATACCTTTTAATGGGGGCTTACCTAACTTCATGTGTTAAATTTGGTCAAGTTGTCTAAATATTTGTCAATCTGGAATGAATTATGTTGATCATCCTATATGCCAGCTGTCCTAATTCCTTCTGCAAGTGTTTTGTACTGCACAGGAGTGTAAACAATGAACCAAAAGCCTGCAAGTGACACATGCTCTTAATTGAAACGGGTCTTAGATACTCCTCTCCCTTTCCCTCCAGTGAGGCAATTCTAAATATACACAGATGAGGTACTTACACATTTATTGCCCTAGAAAGAAGTACCCAGAGAACTTCTGATGGAGAAAACACTGAGCATGTCACCTGTTTAACAAACACATTGCTTTGATACGCAGGAGCCACAGACCACAACAGTAGCATAGGGAACCTACAAAGTGCACTTGCACTCTAGGAAGAACAACACTAAGTCTTTTGCTGGCTACATGCTCTTTCTAGAGGAACAGCTAGAAGCCAGAGCTACAGTTCAACTATTTATTTGATAAGCAGCAGCGCTGTACAGCAGACCTTGAAGATGAATCCTACCTCAGGTAGGTGGCAGAACAAGAGGCTCCTTGAATAGGGAATTCTTTGGCTAGAAGTGAAACAGATGCAAAATACTCCACTTTGAAGTCTAATTGCAATGTTTTCCTGTGTGCATCTTGTTTATTCATTAAGAAGGCAAAAAGACAAAGCCTGCTTTCTTCTTACAAGATCACCAAAGCTTATTTGTATATTTTACAGTGTATGAATGAGACTGACATGCACTCCACTTCTCTGCTGGTTCATCTAAAGACCACCAAGCAAGGAACTGGTGCATAATCTTTCAGGAGTCCTATTTTAAAGGATCAAGATGACAAATCCAATATAGCAATTGACCCAATCAATACTATTGGTGTAAGTGATGTACTGCAGTACCTGTGAGAAAGGATGATCTTCTTCATGTTGTCTGCCATGAGGAAGTTATAAAATCTTCTACATTGATCCCACTGCATGAAGGTTTCCTGTGCCCTAGAAAAAACAGTGCGGAACAAGCAAAGCTGTTAACAGAGATCTTGACAGATCAGATTAATAAGCTGTAACATCTTATGGCAGCCTAGAGGCTATGTAAACAAATCTCCAGGCCTTCCCTGCCACACTTAACCTTTTCCAGGAAATGACTTCCAGTTTGATGAAGTTTGGTAGTATCAGAAAACAGATCTGCGGTCTCATTTTGCACAATGCAATTAGCTGTTTTGATCAGAGCATTTAAGAGCCATCAATCAAGATCTGCAACACTGACAAGAGGATTTTAGTATCCCTTTGCCTAAGTTGAATGTAATTTACCTAATGGGACTACTAAGGAAAGGACTAAAACCTGTTGCTGAACAAAGTGCTGTCTATTGTGTATATTAGCTCTGCAGAGGAAATAATAATTTGTGCAGATGCTTCCAACACATACAGACACTATTATTGTCTTAGCTTCATTGGCAGGAGCTGTAGGAATAAATCCTAGCTGCAGCTGCAAGTGGCATCTGAGTTGAAGTCTTCACCTATTCTCAAAGCAGAATAGCACTTCGCAGCTTATCTGTTGTTAAAACAGAATTGAAGTCCTCCAGACTGCTGTGAGCTCTGGCAGATACCAGCACCCCTTTGCTATGCAGGGTCAAGGGCAGGTCACAGCTTTACTCTTAGCAGGGTTTGCTGTTACTGAGGAAACACACTATCATTTACTGAGCAACCTAAGAATGCTGGGAGCAGCTTCAGCTACTGAACTACTCCTACTATTTAAACATTAACATACCATGAGAACTACAGTGGATTTAGCATGACCATCCAAGCCACTGCCTGCCAGTCCCCTACCAGGGTAAAACCAAGTTATATTTTCTTGTAGTAAGCCATGTTAGAGTATGATTTTGAGGGAAAAACCTAAAACCTTCCTTATCTTTTTGTCTAGCCAGACTATACTGACCATGTTTATGCCGGGGCAGGGGAATGAAGGAAGACAGGAAGATGCACATTTCTTGCTTCACAGAAGCTTTTCCAAGCAAACCTATTAAGTTATTAAGAGATGTTTGAAGTTAAAGCTACCACATCTCCCTGCAGTTCCTGTGGTACACCTAATTAGCAGTACTCCTAATGTGAAAAGCTGCCTTTTTTCAGTGCTTGCAGCTTCTGGTCTTTTGAGGACTGCCCAGGTTTCAAAGCAGAGGACTCTCCCCACAGCCTGTAGCTATAGTAAAGATGCATTCCACAAGATCAAGCAGCAGAATCAAGCCTGTGCAGGCAGAGATTAAGGAATAAGGAGACATGTCCCCATTTAGCCTCAGGTAACAAATTCCCCAGACTCTGTATTAGTTCATTAAATTAAGTCTCTCATTCTTCTGGCAGATCCTAGTATTGCTGCTACTTCATTAGTCCCATCTATAGACTTTATGATTAATACTCTGGAAAAGCTTTCATATCTCAGATTCCTAGTTCACCTTGCTCACCAACACTTTTTTCCTTCACTTCCTAAAGTTATTTGGGGGATAAAGGCTGTACAAGCTAATGAAAAAAAATAAAATGGAATTGTAAACTAACTGGTCACCTCTACCTGGGTAATCCACTTTCATGTGGCCCAGAGGGATGAGGTCAGTTATTTTAAACTACCAGACCAAGCCCAGGAAGGCTAAGGCTTAACCATTCCAGCTGGAGGTGCTTTGTACCTCCCCTACCTCCTACTTCTATAGCCAGGGGCACAAGGCCCTCCCTATTCTGTCTTTTGCTATTTACTGATGTTGCTTTCCCCTAGATCTGCAGGTAATTAGCATTTAAAGCAGTAGATATTATGTAGGGAGACATAAGATCTGCAAAGCCATCCTGCTGATTGCTCAGTAAGGCACAGCAGATATTTTATGACTGGAAATATGCTAGTAGATGTCTACCCAGCAGGTGGAGTCAAGAGCTCAATAATCCACACAACCCACTGAAGATTTATACTAATAAAAGCACAGTATTGTTAAACAGGTTGCCCTTGCCCTGCTGTTCTACCAGCACATCATGACATGCTACTATAGAAATCGGCTTAGGGAACAGGATTGCTCACAACATCATTTTAGAGACCAGAAATACAACATTGCGTAACTGCAGAAGATGAACCAAGTGGATCACTAACAGACGGGATCCTTGCAAACCCTGTCTGATAGGTATAATTGAAAAGCTGGCTTCAAAAAGATGCTCTGTGCACCATGCCAGAACCCCAGGACAACTAAGAACATTTTACTTGAAACAAAGCAGAAACTGTTTCTGAAAGCCCCTGTTCAGATTGTAAGGGTGGGAACTCACGGGGACCTAGCAGTAGGTTATACCCTCTTTTAGCAGTAGTCACATCTGATCTCAAAAGGGATTAGGTATGCTGGAATATTACTGAAGTGCATATCAAGCTTTTAGTCACATCTCAGTGATTCCAGAAAAGCTTCTTACTTTCACCTGTAAACTCTTAACTCATGAAAGGTGTCTTCAGACTGCTTAATATCAAACTGGTCCCTGTACAGGCAGAGCATCAGCAGCACCAAGAGAGTTCCAGCTACCCTGACCAGGCTGGGAGGCCAAATTCCATAGCAAGCCCCTCACAGGGCTGCCACAGTTTCACTGTTTTTATCTGCCCAAAGGATCTTGACCCAAATACCCTAGTCTCAAAAGCCCCTTTTGCCTTTCAAATAGTCTCAGGGCTCACAAGTTCAGTTGAATTACTGTAAAGTCACCTACACCTTAGTAGTTGCCCATATGTAGAGACAGTAAAAACTGAAAGCAGTAGTTTAGCCAGTTACACTGTTTTAATCTTCATTAACTGTGCACACATGGAAAGTTACTGCACATTAGTTGAGTCACCAGTTTTCAAGCAGCAGGATCTTCTACCAGTAAATGGAAGTGGAGTTGTTACAACTCCTGTGAAGTGCTATAGCTTTGGCTTCCAGGTAGAGAACCACAGGGTAACATTTTAGACAGAGTTTAGGGCTATAAGCCTTCTCCCTACCTTCCAAACTGCACAACATATTTGCAAGTGCCTCTCCATCTCCTCATCAGCTCACAGCACTGTTTCAGTGACACACACTAAGCAGGAGCATGGACTGACAGCGTATGAGCTGTGCATCTCTTTCCAGTCTCCCCAGGTAACAGCTGCCAGATGAAACTGCACACTCAAGCCAGAAAAGCTATTATGAACCAAGGGATACTCGAGTGATGAGAGTGTAAACTATTGCTTGCAAACCTGGCATCAGCTCAGCAGTTTGTCATGCTGCCCAGCCTGCCTGGTTAATTATTCCAGGACTGCACAGGGAATGCCTCCTCTTAGGATGCTGTAGCAATTCTGCCATGACACAGAGTTAGGGCAGCTCACACACACAGACCAGAAGCTGCCAGCACATACCTGGCCAGGTACAGAAAACTTACATGCACTGTTGACAGAAACCTCATTTGTGCTGCCAAATCAACAAAGTTTTGCCTGCTCCTTCAGGAGGGTGGCATCCTGCAGGTTGTGGTCTGTCAGACTAGAGGAGCACGCTCTGCACATTGCCCTTCCACACACACCCTGTCCCCTGGTGCACCTCCAGAAGAGACCAGCATGGAAAAGTCTCCAGACCTACCTCAGTGCACTGTATCCCTGGCACACACTGACACAGCACAGGACTCGCTCCTGGTTGGCCTGGCTCTCTCCCAGGTATTTGCACACAATGTTTCCACCCAGGCTGAAGCCCACGACAACCAGCTGGGTCTGAGGGTAGGTCTTCTTGATGGAATTAACCATGGCACTAAATTCCCAGGTGCAACCTAAAAATAAAAACAAAGTCAAGAATCATCTTCTAACATACCTAGATTCCCACTTCAGGCTTCAGTTGTGTGCTTTAAATTCAGCTTCTTACCCTTTCTGACTTTTCAATAACCTTAATTTTTTAAGAGCTCCAATTCACACATGTTCATGTGTCTTTTATGAGCCACATGGACCTTAGATGGGGCTCATGCCTAGTTCTGACAGAGTGCCAAAGTAAGATGAAATTAACTTGCTTAAAAATCACAGCCACAGCTAATCTGACAATCCAAACTCTCCTTTCTAAAGCAGCTTAAAAAGCAGAGTCCAACAGCTCTGGGCTTGACATTACTATCTAGGAACAGCACCCATCATTACCTTCCTGAGGCAGTTTGCCACTTCTGAACTTCAGTGGGGTGTCTGGAAATCAGCTTGTTCCTTTGCTTTTAGCAAGGCTGTCATGGATCCTTAAATCCATGCTGGTGCAGGGAGGCAATGGAAATGCAGAGCTGGCTTGTCAGGACAGAGCTCTCATGGACTGTTGCAGAGCCTGACTTAGCAAGTGCTCTCTGGAATGAGAGGGAAGGATTTAAGCAGAAGCAGCTAGCCCTTTCTAACCACTGAAGAGGTAAAGATACTGCAGCTTCCTAGAAGAGGTATGGGAAACCCCTCTTCAAGAGAAGAGGTTTTTACCTACACAGATCTGTTCTGCTCTTAGCTAACACCCACTTGCACCCCACAGGCTGCAGTCACTGAAGGATCCAGCTTCTAGTAGTACTGTGGTCCTCATTGTTTAACAGATTTGAAGGCCTCCACACATGCAACATCTGAGCACCTATGGCTCTTTCTCCTGCCTTTGACTTTGGGAAAAGGGAACATGAAGAGAAGCAGCTGCAAAACTGATGGCATTAGTATAATGGTATCAGCTGTCTATGCAACTTTGTTAACCTTCCCACTGGATTTAGGACTGCAAGCTGCACAGGAGGCACCAATGAACAACAGAAATAAAACTCCAACTGCTTACAGCTGCCTAGAGTCAGAATCTCATCTCTATCCTGTGGAACTCATGCAAAGAGATAATTCCTAAGAGCTGGGATTCTACCCTGTGCCAACCTGACACTGCTCCAGTGTGTCCCCACCCCAACTGTAGCATCCTTGCTAGACATCAGACTCAGGTTTTGGCTAGCTCTGGAGTACATGAGCACCAGGGCTTGTGTTTACTTCGATGAAACAGCAGGCTCCTGGCAGAGCATTTCAGCAGGGCTTGGGCACTTCCCTGTGAACATTCTTAATGAGCAGTTTTCCTCAATATGACAAATGCTGCATTGCTCTGGTTTCCTCTGGAAGAAGCCAGCAGTCAAAATACTTCAGTATTTTACCTTCAGGATTTGAGGGCAACTGGCAACTATTTCAGAAATCCAAAGCTAGAATAGCAACAGGTCAAGCTTGATGTAAAGGCTGGAGGATTCAGCAAATCCTGAATTTAGGCTACTTGCTCCTCAACAGATATGTCAGGAATCCAGCAAAAGCTGTAAGGACACTAGGATATTTGTGTTGGAGGCAGAGTGAAGCCTGTTTATGGTCTTGCTGGCACTCCACTTAAAAAGCAACTCTGCCAAGTGATTTACTGTCTCACTCAAAGGAAATGCAAGGCATTCCTTGCCCTTTCCAAGGCTATAAAAGACTCCCAAAGGTACATCTCAGGAGATACACTGGAGAATAACTCCCTAAGGTCTAAAGCAAAAGCTCCATGGAAGAAAGTTCTCAACTTTTACCAAAAAGCCAAATGTTTTAAAGAGGCCAAGCTTAGTTCCCAAGCTAAGTAGCCTTGAAGCCATTAATAGCTTAGGGCCTCAATACAAATTGAGGTACTTGTTATTAAATCTACTCCTTGGTGGAAAACATTGTGTGAATACCTATAAAATAAGCAACAAAACATTATGGCCTCTTTGCCTGCCAGACCCAGGATCTCAAAGCACAATATTTCTATTTTGGCAAATAAATTGTTCAAGATAAACATTCAAACTGTTAATCCAAACTCTTAGCAGTAAGTATCTTAGTTATCTTTAAAAAAGAAAAAGAAACCTAACTGACTGAAGTCAGTTACCAGTCTGCTAAACCCATAACTGACTCCTGACATAACATACCTATAAGTGTTTGCAGTAAAGAGGGAAACGAGGGCTCAAGAGAACTCAGGAACAAGCAGATCAGGTCACAGGCAAGAAGGCCACATTCTACAAAGATCATTTTACTCACTAGCAGGGCAGTCAAGAATAGCTGGAGTCACCTCTAACAGTTCCAAATCCTTTATTCCTTTTAATTCCTAGGTTAAGAAAGATTTCCTTATATCCAAGCAGAAAGCCCAGAGTCATGGCAGTTCAGCACTACCACTTCTGTAGCTTTACTGTCATACTATAGAATTGCTGCTGTTCCTTGACATTTGTCTTACAACCAGGGACCATTTGTCATGTGTCCCTCTTAGGATAGAAATGTATGTTCTGGACAGACTGGTACAAACTCCTCCCATGTTACATTTTACAAAGCCTCAGAAATAGTGTTTATCCTTCAGAGACAGGTTTGTTCCACATTTCATTAAACTGACATTTCAGCATCTCTAAAATAATTTGAGCAGGCTCTTAGTAACCACAAGAGCTTTTTTCAAAAGATTTCTTTTCAAAAAAACTGCCTCCTTGATTAGGGAACACATGTAAGAGCTGGGAGAACACACAAGGAAAAGTGAATCCCAGTATTAGCCTCCCTACTTCCTCACATGTAAATTCAGTTTATTTCCTAAGAAACAGTACAAAATTATGATCCTCATTCAGATATGGCAGCTGTGCTATGCTTAAGGGGGCTGATCAAGCCCTAGAAATCCCACAAGTTTGAAAATAAGTCCCCAGCTGCCATAAAGTACCTACCGTACGTGAACATTCGTGGAGAAGTGAGCTCAATGTTTGGCAAGGCTCCCAGGTGATTCAGGACAGCACATCTGTACCCATTTTTTTGAGCATAGTCAACAAAAGTACGGATATACTGCTTTTCACTGTGGTTAGCAATCCCAGGGCAGATTACCATCGTGACGTCCTCTGTGCATAGAAAGAGAGGGAAGTTAAGTAAATGTCACTTCATGCAAATTAGGAGATTCAGAAGGTTTCCATTTCAGATCCATGGGAAACCATCTACCAGAAGCAAGCTAAAAAAAAAAAAATCTTACTAGTCTGCCAAAAATCCAGTATAGGACAGGAGACCAGCAGCTCCAGTGCTACAGATGTGAAAAAGTAATTCATGTTACGGGAGATGAACGGTTTTCTGACTTCAGGGAGAGCTGCCCAAACAGTTCTACAGGCACTGCCTAGAGACCAAGAGGAAATTCTTCCCTTTGAAGGATGTTTTTGACATTACACATGTTCTGCCTTCTGACAGCTTGTTATGACTGCTAAGTGTGTGGAAGCTCTGGAGCCCACTGCTCGTTCATGCACCAAGTAGACTAGCTACACTCTTTTTCCCTTGTTTTCCTTCCAAAGGTGAGTGTAACAGATCTTTAAAATGAAGCTTTGCTAAGCACAGACATTCTGATCAGCTAACATTAGCCATCATCTGCTTTGGGGCTAATCTAATGATATTTGATCTGCTGACACCATTCACTAGTTTAACAAGATATCATTTCATTAACTAAGAAAGTAATTGTAATTCAAGTAAGATCAGCAAATTACATTCAGGATTAGCATTTGCACTTCAAATTAGCTATCAGACTCTTATGTGCAAAGCTTCAACACTTAGCAGCTCTAGACACAGAATTTCTGCCTCATTAGGCAAGCACTACTCAAGATTCTTCAGTGATAAAGATAACAGTAACTTATCTAGTGTATCTGTTACCTAGTTACCTGCTGCAGCATTATACCATGAGGATCTCAATGCAGAGAGTTAAGAGAAGACCTCTGCTTTTTCTGAAGGCCAAATGAGAGTCATGAGCTTACAATGAAATCAGCTACTGCAGGGGTAAATTGTACTTCTGAAGTCAAGCCACAGTAACTCAGTTTTAAGTGTTGCTGTTATCAGTGTAACAGTGAGTTTGAAAGCTGACATCCACTCAGAAGACACATACATGAAGTTGTAAGGAATTGCCACGATTTTCTACTTATTCATGTGGTTTCTCTTCATGTATGCACAGCTTCAGACCCTGTGCACATGGAGTTAGTCTTCACACAGATCTTGAAACAGCTATGGGTAGTAAGGACTACCAAGAATCTGTTTCTAAGGGGGAGGGAAAGCCTAGTTTCTTTTCCATACACACCAGGCTATGAAGAACCCCATGCAGCTAGCCTCTATGATCCCACAGCCTTAACAGGCAAAGGACACTCTGAACAGGGCTTACCACCAGGTTCTCTTTGCCAGCCTCTCACTTGTGCCACAGATGACAGAACACTACTTCTGTTATTTAACTCCCCACCCCTTGCTACAAATAGTTAATTAGTCTAGTAGGGTCTCTGCTGTTGTCTGAGACACAGATACACAGCAAGATGGCCTTGTAGCCTCCCCACATTGGTTAGTATTGCTTAGCAGCCTCCTTCCATCACCAGAATTAACATCTATCCTTGCTGATAAATCAAGTAGCAGTGTTCTCATCCATCCCCCAAGAGCACAGAATCAAGGTTAGCAGTTAGATGCAGCCAGCAGCTGTTTGACTGACCTCCAATGCAGTGCTCAGACTGCGGCTCAAAGAGATCAAAGGTGGCTGTTGCTCCATCTGGCATTGTGAGGTACTTGCGAAGTCCGTACGGATGTGGTGATCTCACTCTCCCCATCTTTCCGTAAAGGGCAGTCTGGATATGTCCACTCTTCCCCCAGATCAGGGGTGGAATGTACCTGAAAGAGGCAAAATATTTAATTGCTTGTCCCTGCTGTGTTAACAAGCCTTTGAGAACAGATAAGCACTCCCCCTCACTACCAAACACAGTAGCAAATATGAAATTGTTTTTGCTACAACTGAACTGGATCTTTGCAGCCTTACAGAAGAGGAGAGACTGATATGCTCTCAAAGCTGACAAATCAGCACTGATAGCAGCAGCAGAAGCCAAAATCCAGACATTCTTCTATCTTGAAATGTTACATGGTCAAATGCTTCTCAAATACACAGAGACCTTGTGTCTCAGTGAGATTGGGACAGCATGTTGCTAGCCAACCAAACTGACCTCCAAAATCTGTAAAGTGTTGTAAATCTGTTTTAATTGAAACACTGAAGCCTGCCAGGTTGATCCACATAAACTTGACTGTTGTATCCACAACTCCCTGTTCTGCCTACACACTCCAAAAAAACCCAACTTCCAATAAAAATAAGAACTATCTGGGCTTGTTTAGCCAGACAAGAGCAGCAGTAAACTCTTCCTGCCTGTTCTCTTCCCTCAACCATGAGGGAGGCTTCTTACAGTCATTGCAATACAGTTTCTCATTGTACTGTTTCACTCAGTTTTTGCAAGTGCACTTCCCAAAGAGACCCAAAATGGATTCCCATAGAAGTAGACACCACACAACTGGCTTTTTGTCTTCTTTCAGAGAAGTCCTTTGCAGAAGGGTTTTGCTAGCAGCTTTTTTTTGAGGAGAGCTGTCAAGTACAACTTACAAGAATTTGCAGGTCTTTTAGAAGGGACTCAGACATGAATGTTGTTGTGTGGTTTCTAATCTTAGGTTAAGTGCATGCATTGGAAAGTTTTGGTGATTCTGCTTCTATACAGTGCTTTTTAAATCAAAGATTATCACAGATAAAACCCAAAGTCTTACCCCATAGGGCTAACAGGAAAGCAATTTCTCCAGCTACAACAGCCAAGCTATATAGCTGTGACTGATTACTGATACTGCCTTGATGAAAAAGAAGAAATGAAGGATCTCTGCAAGCACCACTTCTTTCCTCATATTTGCCTACAGTTCAGTTTCCAGCTATAAGTTACAGTCATCCAGTGGAATAGATGCAGCAGCTGCAGCAGCACATAACACAGGATGTTGTTAGGCAGGAAATTAGAAAAGTCTTCAAAGCTTCACCACTACCACCAGAGTTTAAAGGAAGACAAATGGCTTCAAGCATGCTGCTTACCAAGAGTGTGCTACTTACAACAGCCTGCCTCAGGTCACAGCTGGTTTCTTTGGGGAAAAGAAAAGCACACCAAACAAACTCAAACATGCCTTCAAATAACCCAGCTGGAAGTTACCTGAAGTACTGATCTTCAGTAAGTCAAACCTTTGCAACCACTTTTACACAGGCAAACAGCACATGCAGTTTCATTGAGCTGTTCTTCATTAAAGGAAAGACTAAAACCAAGGCAGGAATCCCTGTGACTCCATCCATAATGATGGACAAATGCTACCTACGAGTTCTACATTTCCATCTGAAGGCTAAAACTGGGTGAAGTCCTACAGACAAGAGCACATTCCCTGTTTGCTCCCTTCAGAGTGAACAAGCCAGTGTTTCTGAGCACCCTATAGACCAGCCAAGTAAAATACTCAGCTTATCTGTTAGCTCCCATCAGTTGTTTAAGCATCACACTGCCTGCAGCCAAGATGTGCTGGGGTTAGTCACTCTGCATGCAACTACACTCTTCCAGATAAATATTCAAAGGCCAAGTTCCAGCATGAGTAATGTGTATACAGTACTCTGATGCAGAGATTTGTTACTCCCACTTAGTCATACTTCAGCATGTTAAGTATATTTCTGCAGTTCACATTTAAAAATAAAGCAGCTAAAGCTCTAAAATACATGTAAGTATTAGAGCAGCAGATTGCCATCTCACCTATCTTTTTTTTTACTACCCTTTAAGCAACAGGCTCATGGAGAAATAGATACCCTAAAATCCCCTAAGTATCCAGACTCCAGGAGACTGAACATCACAAAACTTGATCAGAGAAGGGGGAAAGTTGTCCAGATCTTGCATAATCAGTGAAAAACTAAGACAGATTAAAACTCACCTTACCAGACTGATGTAAAAGCAGGCAGCTATTCAAAATATTAGGCTTTAATTTACCAAGACAAGGTGCCAATCTCGCCTACTGCAAAGGCTTGACAGTAACAAAGCAATGGCTCTATATCACTGCATTCCAATGAAAGCTGTCCCCAGCCGATGGACAAGTTGGACTTTGCAAAGCATTCTTACGTGATTTGTCTGTTAGACTATTTCTGTTCACCCTTCATTTTGGCAATGAACAAGCCTGTTTTTGAAAGTCTTCCCATGAGTGACTTCTATCTCCGTTTTTGAGACAAAGTCTACAAGAGCTTCCAAGACCAAGTACTGAGCACGATAGCACAAGACTGTACAGGGGGACAAGACTTTTTACTCGAGGTTTGTGCAGACTTTGTTTGCTTTTACCAAAACCAAAGAGGAGAGCGTGGAAAGAACTCTTCAGTTATGAAGGTGCAGGATACCACACTGGTGAGGCCAAAAAAAAAAACCCCTACCTAGGAATTATGCAAGAGTCCTCACCCTCTGGAAGTGCAGATCAAATAAGCTGAATTTTGTTTAAGCTGTATTATGTGAAAAACAACTCCAGAGACATTTTCATAGTCAATCCAGCTGAAATACCTAACTATCCAGTGCTAACAGCAACAGCTAGCACAGGTTGTTTTGCAATGAAGCCAACATTCCTCATGGCAAACGGCTGAAAAGAGATGCTCCTCCGAAACAATCTTTCTGTAGGCAGGAAAACATGTACTCAGGCTATTTTTATGGCTTACCTTAACAAAACAAACTCATCAGGGTGTGACACGTGGAAACATGAGTTAGGTATTACACAGACTGAGTGACTAAGTAGTTTAAGGAGCATTCAAGTATTGCCCTTGATGTTTTATGCTAAAACTTTCTCTTACTGTTAAATTTAATCAAGTCTTCCAAACCAGGGCCCCTCACTCACAAAAGCAGGTGGCTTCCCTCTGGCATTGATATTAAGTAGACACAGGGAAAGTGTTCAAGGACATGACAGATTTCAGCTTCTCTACAATGCCTGCTGCAAACCCAAGTGGTTTTGAAACACAGTGTACTGTAGAGATTATCCCAGTAGAGCAAGTTTCACTGTATGGAGATGATTCACTCTGCATTCCTTGGTGTGCCCTGTTCCAGCAGAGTTGCTCACAGATGTACAAGAGCCCAGGCACAGACACCATGTCTATAAGCAGCGTTTCCAGTGTTCTGCAGTAGTGGTTTAGAGGTGACAGGAGCTGAGCAGCCAGCTGGGTGAAGAGCAGTCAGGAAGACCTCTTGCCAAAGACAGATATACATGTCCACACAAGGACAAGGATGATGTCCCACAACAGCACACACAAGCAAGTACTGATAACATGGGAGATCTGAAGGCAAAGTTGTGTTGTACTGGGGAAAAAAATATATATCAGTTTCCATGGAACAAAAATGGCTTCCCAGTTTGCTCCAGACCCAGAGGCTTTCAACTGACTCATTTCCCTGTTTTGATTTGGTCAGTTGCAATAAATAGCAGGCACTCTGAGTAAAGACAAATATTTGAGGCAGTCAGTTATGACTTCCAGTAGCCAGTCCTGTAACTTCCAGTAATAGGATTCTGCAGTAGAAGGCAGACAGAACAGGTCTGCAGATGCCAGTTACTTTTTATGGAAGCTGACTTATATGGCAGAACAAGTAGAGAGTTCATCAGTCTTAACTGGCTAAGTGAATTCACAACCAGTTACATAAATCTGCTCAAAAATGCTCAAGTTTTAGCTCCAAATGCTGTGCTTCAGCTGTCCAGCACAGTCCCACATCTTAATACATGGCTGTCCACAACAGTGCCTGAGAGCAAGAGAATGCTTAAGTGTTTCAAACATTCTCCTAGTATTTTAATATTAAATAAAAAATCCAACACACGATTGTAGATTAAGTTTTAGTGGCTCTCAGGCAGCAGATTATGATTTTAGAGCACGTACATCACCCAGTATGCAGGAATTTAGGAAAGCAGCAGCTGTATAAGCAGCTCACACAAAGCACATAAAAACTGTGCTATTTTTATTAGCAAGCATCAGCATTCAGGTCCTCAAAGATCTGAAGTGGAAGTTCAGCAACAGGCTTATTTCTGGAGCATTACTTCATTTCATCTGAGGAGATTAACACTTTACACATTAACCCTTACACCAGCTTTGATGTGCTGTAGTACGTTGGATACTGACAGCAAGAAAGGAGAGCCTACAACTTGTCCATGTCAGGGGACACCCCAAGAACTGCCACCTGCATTTCAACAGGTTATTTTTTCCCCTTTACAGAGCAGTTTGGAGGTATTTAAAGGATGTTTTAAAAATCAAACCTTGTTTGAATCTTATTCCTTATGTGATCCTAGGGAATGCAATTTCCAATCCAGAAAGCTTACCTAAAAGTCTGTGGGGTTTAACCCTCTTCCCCCCAGATATGTAGAAAGCAGCTTTTTCTGCATCAGCTCAGCTAGACTGTTCAATGTGATGAAGACAGAGCAAATTTGTAACAGCAAAATTTTAAAGCAGCTTACAGAGCTTCCATGTCCCCTGAGCCTCTGAAAAATTAACATAAGTGGAATAGAAGTGTTTGCTGTCCACAGAAACTGCATGAAGTCAGAACTGTAAGTACAAACTGGCCTTCTCAGTTATGTTACCTCCTCAATTTAGCCAGCTTTTGTTCAGTAAAGTGCCCATCACACCTCTCCTCAATCTTCAGTGACTACAAGAAGTATTCCAGTCAAAACACAGAATGAGTATTACATCTTCCTTGCTGATGAGAGCTGGAGAATGTAAGGCTGCTGCCAATGTCACAGCAGAGCACCTAGCAAGGACTCAGACCCCCTGAGGCTGCTTCTCTCCCTAAGGTCAATGCTTCAACTTACCAGTTGGGAACTGCCACTCTCCTCTACCTCTCAACATGTTCACCTGCCAAAGCTTCAGGAGTAACACTGTTTTTCTGGTTTATTATTCTCCTGGAAGTGTTCCTCCTAGGGTAAAACACTAAGGAGTTGACAGGAATCAAACACTGTTTGCTATTGGATGGAAGAAAAGAACATTGAAAAGCTTGAAGTCAGCTTTGCTGACTAGTCTTCTTGCATCTAGGAGAAAAGTGATGACAGTACAAAAGTCTTCTGGTACCAGGCAGCCTGCTTATCCGGTGTAGGTTACTGTGCAAACAAAAGATAAGAAGTATCTAGGCTGGATCTTTGACACTGTTTACTAAGACTTGACAATCATTTGCTTCAGTCTTTGAGGAGCTTGTACTTTTTAATGATAAAAAGTGTGCAGACAGTAAGGATGATTATTTCCAATAAGGATGACACTTGTGCCACACCTCTACAGTAATAAAGATACATACACATACACTGGATAGTAAAAAAAATTGGGAATATCCAAAAAAACCAACCCCCATCTCTAGCTCAGTACAGCAAGCACTGCCAAATCTGTCATCATGAATCAAAGAGCCAATGCTGCAATTCTACAGGAATAAGAAAGCAGATGGCAGACTTTCTGTACCAGTTTGAAAGACAGGAAGAGGATAGAGCTGCAGCCAGGGGTTAGGCCTGAGGGCACCAATAACTGTGCTGATTTGCAAGAGCTTCCATGCAAGAAGCAGTTCTTTGAATGAAAGAAGGTCTGATTATGCTACTCCACTTGGTAAGCCAAAGTACAGAGCTAGACAGGGGTAGAGGAAGGGAAACAGAGGCAAGAAAACATGAGCTCTAGGAAGACAGAGTCTATTGCTTACCAGTGTTTGATCAATACACGGAAAGCTCCTAGCAGTTTAGAGAATTGTATAAAGGAGTACTAACATCTGCAAGTACAAGGTACCGGGCACACAGCCATCTCACACAGTTTTACTATCCAAAGCTCTTAAATTATTCATCCACCACCACTTGGCTTACTGAAGGACACTACAGTTACAATGTATGGATTAAGTCCATAGGTGAAGATGGTGCCTTGAAGGGGAAATAAAATCCACAAGTGTTTTCCCCCCTCGTCCCCAAGTATTTTTTCTGTATCTGCACAGCTGGAATAACTTTGCTTATTTCTGTTTTCTCTCTGCCACCCTGTTTTTTCCAGCAATATTCTCACCCCTTCCTCCCTTAAGCATATGGGAGCTGAACTAACCGGGTCTGAAAGACAGTTCACAGCTGTACAGAAGAACTGGACTTATAAAAGATCTTACAAACTCAGTACTGATAACAGAAGGGACTGCTGGGCTACTTATTTTGCTTTCATGGTAGAATTTGAAAAGAGCTGCTTAATCAGCTTTCCTAACACTCTGAATAATTACCAAGTAATCAAAGCCTTACAAGATTTTTTTTTAGTGGAGTATGGCACAAGCTGTTTTCACAGAGCTTTTTGCTAATTAGTCCTACAAACTATTTAATGCATAATTGCAGGAATTTAAATATATTTGTTCTCTTTTAGTCTCCAGGTGACTTTCATGCCTGAAGACAGGATTTCTTTGATTTTTTTTAATTTCTATATTAAAGTCTGTGATAACATCACTAGAATAGCAAAAATCACATATACATAATCTTAGAGTTGTCTTTCCTGTAAACCCTTTCAATCCCCAACAGCAATTATATTCCTATCTCCCCTAACATAGGTATACAGGTAACAAGACTGAACAACTACCTATTGACACATTTGATTCTAGTTTGTTTCAGCTAAGTTTGTTTCCTGGGGTCACACAAGCCTTTGAGGCAAATATTCTGTCCAAGAACCATGTGTTGGAAATCACTGCTACAGTTTTCAGAGAAGTTGGCAAGCCTGAGCTCTGAGCTGATCCAGAGAAAGCAAACAAACCAAGATTGCACACTATTAACACAACACTGGGGTTCTGCAAAAAGCTCTTCACTCCTGCAGTTAATGCACAATAGATGAACTGCAATTTTTAGACACGTTCTGGATTTTCAATCCTTTGGGAACACTTTGTTCTCCAACTGAGTGAAAGTTCAAGACATGCCTCTAATACAGTAGAAATAGGAGCTTGTGCCATGAGAACAGAGCTGAAATAGGAGTAAAACAGACTCTGAATTAACTCACAATCTGTTTCCAAAGATAAGCCTGATACTAATATGCCTTCAAGAGTGGTAATCAGCACAGCTTCACACTTGCTCTTTCAGCAACTAGGGACATGTCAATCCAGAGTGCCAACACCGAGATGACAAGTGTCTAAGATACACTAAAGAGGTTCTAGTTACATGGTATTTTTTAGGGAAGCAACTGCTTTGCAGTTAAGGTACTAGCCAAAATCAAGAATCCAATTTCAATGCTCAGCTTCAACACACACTTATGTTAGTACCAAACTCAGAATACATCAGGGAACCCTATTTGGGCTCTAATTTAAAACAGATAATGCTTTGTTTCCTTTAAGAGTTTACAGATCCTACACCTTATGTAGCCAAGGTAACACAGCACTGCTAAAAGCCTCTCATCTCCCCTAGAATGACTATCATTAAGTCAGCTTGACTTTTGAGATCCAAAAGGAAGGTTCATGCAGCTGCACTCAGTGCTTACTAGGTAATTGATGTATTTAGGGCTTCTAGATAGGACTTGTAAGTTTTCAAAATAACTGCAGAAGAGAAATACTGTAACCAAAGTCCTTGTACCTCCAAAGCCTCATGAAATTGTAGTAAATGTTTCACGTTATTGGTCAAAGTAAGGGCAGCTGCACTGATTCTGGAGGTCCTAGAATGGAAGGTCAAGGATCAGCCTGCTCAAATACACATAAGATCAATTTGAAAGTGGATTCATCATGCTTAGAGTTGGACAGTATGTCATTAAAGTATGTATGATGATATGCTCCACCCAGTAATAAATTTCATTAGTCTTCAATCAACTTAAGGCACTTCAAAGAAGAGTAGGCACTCTAAAACTAATAGCCATCCCTGTGTTCATTATAAGTGCATGGACATACCATGAAAACACTTCCTTCCTGTGAACCTCAAAAGATTTCTTCCCCAATAGAAAGGGGGGTACATGAACAGGAACAAGTGCTGATTGCACCCATCCCTGCCCCATTTCCACAGACAGTGGGCTATATAGTGCTGGTTTAGTACAGTATCATCATACAGCTACTATACAGAGGCACAGGGATGACTTTTTCCACACATCCCTGGAGAACTCTGCACAATAACTCTTGGAACTAAACCTAGTTACCTGGGACATTAACAATAATGAAATGCTTGACTTGGTACAGGTTTATTTTATCAAGAGAATACCCTGACATTCATTTGCACCCAGGTCTGAGAAACACAGTAGGCAGAAGAATGGTTAAGTGCAGCTCTTCTCCTTGTAACACAGATCAACATGAAAAAAATATACTACTTACTCTTTGGTCAAAAGTGGGCAGGATTTGAGTAGAAAGCGGGCCAAAGCAGAGTCCTGGTAAATGAGTTCAGGAGGGGCAGTCGGGCTTTTCAAATTCAAGCAGCGAACAATAACATACAGAACAGCAGCAACTGCAGCAAGCTTCACCCCATCAAACACCGCCGGCAGCTCGGGGGTTTCCAACATTGCACTCATTTTGAGCCTGGGGATAAAAAAAACAATATTAAAACTTTTGGCAACATACTGTTGGATATGAATATCAATTGCTATGTTAAATATAAGACTGTGCTAACCAACTAAATTTGTCTGTTGACACTGCTGCAAAAATCCGAACATATCAACTCAGACTAGCAACCTTTAAGGCAAAAGGAAGTTTATTTGGTACTGCTCTAAACACCCTGACCAGCACAAGACATAGAAACCAGATGATCAGTTGGGAAGGAGATTTATTCCTATCAGTGCTGCACTTGAATTGCAACAGTCTCTCAGGTGTCAAACCCCACAGTCAGTCAATACTTCCAGGATCTGGGCCAAGACTATCCAGCTCAAATAGAAGCCAAGTGAAAAGCCAGGCTATAAAGGCACATCCACAGTTTTGGATGAGTGTTTCTCCCCAGATGTACAAGCCAGGCTCAAAAAGGAGAGCTTGAAAGAACTACTTTGTTAGCTCCTCAGCCTGAACTTTGCAACCCTGAGAATACTGGTACTAACTCCTGCATGTATTTAAGGTGCTGACTTTATATACCAGTGAGTTCAGGATTTAATTCACAGTAGTTCTGCAGCTGAAGAAGGACTAGATTAATATCTAGTCTTTCACGGGCTTCAGAGTAAAGGAAGTGGGGCAGGGGAGAGAATTAGAAAACCCACAATATAACAATACCCTTCCAGTTTGAAATCAAATTTTTCAGCTGATCCAGCTTCTTTTGAACTCAAAGAGTTGGCTGCAGTTATTGCAGGCATATTTCATCCATGTTGAAGGGGCAGGTTTTAACCTGGGTCTTTCTTTCCTCAGCTACATGGGTAACCCAAGTAACACATTAACTGACAAGTCAAGTCTTACCAATGTCAACTTTTTCTTCCAACTAGAAATAATTGCCAATCTTCAGTAGAATTGTCACCGTCTGGATCCACGTACTACCAGAGTTACCCTGTGAAGGGAGGAAAAACAAATTGATTATTACTGATAAAGCTACATCTCTCAGCTAGAAGGCAATATACAGAAGTCCCGTTGCAGACATTGCAATGATTCATGTATTCAGTCATAACTGCTTTGACTCTGATCCATCTGCATCAAACCTCTTGCCTATGGAGACATTCCAGACTAGATTAGTTGCCTACAGCATATTAATTCATCTGGAATATGCAAATACACCCTCATGAGCAGAGAGAGACAGAAAGCAATAACGAAAACTAGTGCAACTTCAGAGGAAAGCCAGGCTATGAACTTCCAGAAGATCACAGTCACCATCTTCTCAAGACAGTGTCATTGTCCCCAGTTACAAAAACTACCCAAATTCCTTCATATTTAAAAGGACAGAAGTAACAGGCTGCTCTTCTTAACTTTGTGTGGTATCTACACTGTTACTGCAGTGTGAAGCCAGCCTGAAAGAAGTTTCCTGCTACTTTTACACAGGCTTACCAAGGCAGCTCACTCCTGCAGACAGCAGCTCGTAAACAGTCTCTGCCTGTTCCCACACTTGCTTTTTTGAGAAGTTACAACATATCACACTTCAACACGATGGCCAGATCCAGGAGGCTCAGATACAGCCACCTAATTAACACTAGTGCACACACACCAAGGCTTGTTACAAGAACTTGACGATGCCAGTAAGAGCTTTCAGCCTGTAACTGTAAAAATATAAATGATATTTACAATTAGATCTGGATTCCCTACAGGCACAACAAATGGATGGGGACTCAGAGCTTCCAGGAAGAAGCTCCAGAACAGTCTGCTCTCTGCCACAGCTGCTGCTTCCAACTCACAAAACACACCAACCAACAGGACAGGCCATACCAAAGCCTTACTCTTCTTCCTAGCAGGAAGACAAAACCTCAGAAGTACTTTCTGTACTCAGTGCAGCTACTCCAACGTCCCTTGGAAGAAAACAAGTCTGGCATCAGTGACTGATTAATAGCAGGCTGGAAAGCTGTGAGCTTCTGCCACCATAACTGTCCACGTTGGAGAGGAACAGAGGGTGAGGAAAGCAGAGACATTTAACATGGGACAACTCTGAAGCTTTTATTTTCCAATTCTGAGCTTCACAGTAGAAGGAAGAGAGGAGTAGGCTACAAAAAGCCTTCTAATTAGGAGATTATATTGAGATCACATGTCTCAGTGAAGAGCTTGAGTACAATATTCAGGTGTAATGTTACCTCACTTCCATACCTAGTAAATTTCACCAACACTACCACCAGCTGCGTAGGAGACCAAAAGGCAAACTACAGCAATGGCTTCTCCAAGGAAGGTTCAATCAGCAGAAAACTGGTTTGAGTTCCTGAACAATCACTGACTTAAGGACAACCAGGTGCTTCAGCAAGTCTCCCCCAGCTGAAACTCCCAGAAGTTCTGTTGGCATCTTCCCTTCATTGTTTTATTTAGAAAATTAATAGACACAAGTGATACAAAAGTTACCTAAGACCTTCCTGCCACCTGGATTTTAAGCTAGTTTTCCATTTACAGCTTTCACAGCATTAGTGAATTTGCTAAAAATAAAACTTGGCACGATTAGTCATTAGCATTTTGTACTAGTGACTCAGTATAACTGATCCAACTAAGCCATATCCAAGAGTCTTCTCTCTCACATAATATTTAGATTACAAACATGCCGCATCTTTTTGCTATTTCTATATCCAGTTTCTGCCTGTTGCTACCTTGAAAAGCATACTAGCTTGGGGTTACTTCCAGAAAAACCAGCTGTTGGTAGGCAGGATTATGCTTTGACACTTGGGAAACAGTGTTTTTCCCTTTTGGACAGTCTAAATACACATTCACTGAACATACACACCCCAAACATGCTAGAGGTTCATGTATTAAAGACATGGACCAGTTAGAACAAGTCCAGAGAAGGGCCACTAGGATGATCCGAGGGCTGGAGCACCTCTCCTATGAAGACAGGCTGAGAGAGTTGGGGCTGTTGAGCCTGGAAAAGAGAAGGCTCCAGGGAGATCTTATAGCAGCCTTCCAATACCTGAAGGGGCTACAAGAAAGCTGGGGAGGGACTTTTCACAAGGGCAACTAATGACAAAACAAGGGGAAATGGGTTTAAACTGAAAGAGGGGAGGTTTAGATTAGATCTGAGGAAGAAATTCTTCACTGAGGGTGGTCAGACACTGGAACAGGTTGCCCAAGGAAGTTGTAGATGCCCCCTCCCTGGAAGTGTTTAAGGCCAGGCTGGATGAGGCTTTGAGCAACCTGGTCTAGTGGAAGGTGTCCCTGCTGATGGCAGGGGGGTTGGAACTGGATGATCCTTAAGGTCCCTTCCTATCCAAACCATTCTATGATTCTATGTATTTGTCAGGTTCTTTACCCAAAAGCTCAGATGTACAGCTAACACAAAGTTGTCACTGTGGTTGTACAGCTGTCTGCTGTGATTAACCGAGCAATAGATCCAGTCCAAGACAACTAGATTGGTAAACTCCACGCCCTATGGATCCAGCTGGAACACTTCAGGTACGTCCTCAAGAGCCTAGTATTTCTGAAGACCTGAAGAGACCTGTCTCAGCCAGGGTAGATTTGTAGGGGCTGAGCCAGAAAACTCTCTGCTCTAAAAATTTTAAGGGTTTAGCTTACAGAAATGGATTTGAGAGCTCTGCCTCTAATCACATAGGGCAAATGTGATTTTGCAAGCAGAGATGAGGTCACCCTGCTTCTGCTTTGTTAAACTTCTACAATGACCTAATAGACTTGTCTCTTTACAAAAAGAAAAGGACTGATAACCACAGCATTGAGACACAAATTTTAATCTAGAACCTCCTTTAAATGGGTCAGCATTAATATAAACAAACATTTGCCCTTTTCTGTATACATAACACTAGATTTACTTTTAGCAGGCTAGACAAAATTAGCAAGAGATAGTAAGTATATCACTGGAAGCAATCAAGCCTGCCTCTTCATCCATCACAGGGTCCGAGATCTATATTGAGGAACACAAAGAAATTGAAGCACTTGGGGCCAAGGATGTTATTTTAAAGCACCTTAAGTGCACAATTCATTTTAAAAACCACTTAAAGGCATGACAGCCCCAAAGACTGACAGTATTCTCAAGCAATATTCTTAAGTCCCATTTGTGACTGAGGACTAACTTTAAAATCAATCACTAAAAGCAAGCACTGGATTTGTGAAGTCTTTTCATTTATCCTTTCCTCACAGAATAAAAAGTTGAAAATCATGTTACAGGAAACATTTCAGCACTCCTGTTAACAGAGTGCACCTCACTTGTACAAGTATAATGAGAAAAACCCCTGTGTCTCCCCTTCCCAGACAGGAACAGAAACAAGTACCACAAAAGTCAGCAGAGCTACAGCAAATTCTTCATGAATTCCTCATGAATTCTTTCAAAGACACTGGGTTTTAGGAAAGCCAAAATATTTACTTGTAGAGCAAGTGAAGTCATGACTAACAACAAATCCAAGACTTGAACACATTTCTGTTCCAGGTTTCCTGGGGAGAGGAGACTCCCAGGGACAGAAGTCACTTCACCCTGTGACTCAACAGGGCACGCAGAGGATTTAGTAGCTACCAAGCATTACAGCTCCTCCACCCATGCCAAAGCCAAGCCTGACTCTGCACACTGGAACACCAACATTACAAAAGCAAAGACATTAAAGGAAGCCACTTCCACAGGGTCCTTCCCTCAGGCCTTCTAATGCACCACTGAAAGCCTGGCAGATTCATTTCACTGAAGCATTAGAAATGCTTTGGGCTAAAAGCAAAGATGCAGCTGCATGGAACTGCCCACAGCCAAGAGTAAAGTCAGCGCCTCTTTAAAAGGGGCTCTGCTAGCAAGATATTTTATGCTTTACTACATTCACTGAAGAATCTTGAATGATGGCAGTTTGGTACAAAAGCCTCCTAGATGATCTCCCACCAGCCAGCATTCTGGCTCACTAGTGCTTTCACAGCTCAGCTGGACACCAAAACACTGGAGCAGACCTGGTCAACACTGAAAGCATTTTAAGGTCCCCTTTCCTAACCTT